ATTAGTCAGATAACCCTAACGAGTTCCTTAACTTTCCTAAATTCCAGTTCCCTCACCAAAAAATGAAGGTAAGTGACACAGGATCTTAGCATCATGCCTAAATACAAAAGCATTCTGCGTTTACAAGAAGGCACCATCATGTCTTCTTCAGGCTCCAGACTGACCACTTGGGCTTTCACACAATAATGTTTTATTTTGTTTTGTTTTGTTTTGTTTTTTACCATTTACTATGTGTAAGCCAGGCATGTATAGCTGTTAGGGAGAAAACAAAGTAGAATGAGAAAGTCTCTGTATTTGAGAAGTATCAACTATCTGCTCCTTTTGCCCCTGTTTTCAATTATTCCTTTCAATAGGAAGAATGGCAATGCTTCCAAGGAGAAAATAATTAGGGGAATATCAGAGGTAAATCATTAATTCTTACCTCAAACAAAGCAAATTATAAATATTAATTCTACAAAAGCCTAGTGAGTGGATCAGTTCAAGACCAGATTGCCCAAAGAACATTCTGAGTCCCATGCCCCCCACCCCCACCCTGTGTGAGTGAACACGGCACGGAGCACATACTTTATTTGGAATGTTGACATCGCTGCCCGCTGCCAGAAGCACTTTGCTGCCTTCTTCATGACCTCCTTTAACAGCCAGAAAGAATGGTGTTTCTCCATTCTAAAAAAAGGAAAAAAATTAAAATTAATCGCCCTTTGGCAAGGAATGAAATTACTTGAGAAACAGCATGTTTTCTCCCTACCTTTTATGTATTACTCTTAATGGATAGCATTTGTTGAGCATCTATATGCCAACTTATATTGCCAAGACTATATGCCTTGGCAGAGTTAAAAGCACAGCTCTGTGAGGTCAGGATTAATATTAACCCATTTTACAGAAAAGGAAACTAAGCCTTAGCTGGAAAGGGACAAGACTAGTATGCAAATTCAGCTGTTTGGCTCCAAAGCCTGCACCCTCGCCTATCCTGTTATGCTGCCTCCTTGCAAGCTTTCCATCCACCATTTATACCCTTAATCTTTATTAATTTATCTAGCAAACATTTATTTCTCACTTACTGCCTGTCTGGCGAAGGCATTGTGATTGGAAAGATGAAACACTGCCCACAAGAAGGGAACAGCCTAGTAAGCAAGATAATCATGGAAATACGAGTTACAATGCAGTGTGAAACTTATCAAAATAGATATATAGATACAAATGGTGCACACTTGTACCAAGTACAGCTTTAAAGTTTAAAACTGATTTAAACTGCTGTGTGTCCTTTAAAAAAAACAAACAGTAATACTCTTTCTCAGTAATTAGGTTTCCTGAAACTCATTATGATAAATGTTAGTAGGACAAAGTGAGAGCTTAGTTTAGGCCAAAACGCAGAAAGAAAAGAAGGAACTGGTATCACACAATACATGGATATTTCCCCCTCCTCATGAAGATTCTTTCCTAAAAATACCGGGAAGAAATGCAGAATTCCTTCCCATTCCTTAACCATTTCCCTCCTTGGGCAGTATTCTGCTTAACAAATGCATTAGTTCAAATTCAGAAGGCTTTACTCGTAGCTAATTAGATATGAACAATCCTGTCAAGACGGATGCAGGAGCATGGAACTAATGTCCCCATCTCAAAGGGATGGAAAAATTGTATCCACGCTGCTTTACCTGAGTGCCTGGGCCTGCCATCTGTTACAAAGGAATTTCTCCCCATAATAGGCCTTCTCATTTTCCAGGAAAAGAGATGCCAAATGGCAAACCACAGTGGGGAAAAGCATTAGCAAAAAAATGTGAAGGAAAGAATTCACATCTTTAATATATCAGGAGTCTAATAAACATTTGTACCTTTGACCCAACAATCTTGCTTCTAAGAATATACCCAAAGGAAATAGTGAGGAATTCAAACTACAGTTTTTATACAAAGAGGTTTGTGACAGCATTACTTTTAAGAAAAGGAAAATGAAATAAAACGTCCAAGAGCTGAAGAAGAGTCAAATGAACTCTGGGCAGCCGATAAAAATATATATGCATAGGAACACAAAGAAAATGGAAGGAAAATATTTCCAACATCTCTAAAATAATCATTTCAGTGTGAAGAAAATATAAGAACTACTATTTATATTTATTTTTATCTTAAATTTTTAACTGTATATTTCTGGTTTATGTTTTGTAGGGTATTAATTTAATTATAAATGTATATGAGACAGATGCACACCCAAACTCTCCTTACTGATAGGAGTTTGCTACCAAGCCTCTTTAGAGACAACTCCTCTAGAGTATATTCATAGGGGTCACTCCAACTGGTGCAGCAACAGCTTACAACAGGAAACACAGGCAGCCAAGGACTGTATGAATATTAGGGTCCTATCCAAAAGGCTAATATTATCACTAGTCATTATTTTGTGCAGATGAAACCTATCATAATCTGCAATGACAGTTAGTTGGACTTTATGAGCTCTCTCCAATGTGCCCTAACTCAAAAATAGCTAAAAGGTGGGTGAAGTCCAAGTGCACACATTCCAGTGGTAAAGTATTAGAACAGGGCAAACATGATTAAGACTTTCAGTTAAATCCTGTGACTACAGGGGGCATCTGGGTGACTCAGTTGGTTAAGCATCTGCCTTCAGCTTGGGTCATGATCCTAGCGTCCTGGGATCGAGTCCCACATTGGGCTCCCTGCTCAGTGGGGAGTCTGCTTCTTCTTCCCCTTTTGCTTTCCACTCCCCCTGCTTGTGCTCTGTCAAATAAATAAAATCTTAAAAAAAAAAAAAATCCTGTGGCTATGATACCTATATTGGTTTGTGAAGGCCAATCACACCTAAGATTTACCCTAGGTGATTCATGTTTTGTTTTGTTTGTAGCTTCTCATACATCATTCATAACTTTTATTCAAGAGGATCAAATTCTCGAGATCTTCTTTAAATAAGTTAAACCAATTAAACCTGATCATCATTATGCCAGACAGTCAGAAAACACTGAACACACACAAAAGTAAACAAATGAAGGCTCTATTTTTGTCCATGATCCTCAAGTGAAAGCTTGGCTTAACTGCCCCCAGAAACTTGAAGAGAATAAAATGAGGATAATAGCAATATATACCACGGGTCCAAACTCATATACTGCACCCAGACCACACCAGTGATAACAGACGCCATCGGTTGCACACTTACCATGTGCCAGGCGCTATTCCTGGTGCTCTGTGTGTGACATCGCCTTCCCATTTAAACCTCACTATGGCCTTAGGAGGCTATTTGACAGAAGAGGAAACTGAGGCTAAGAGGGGCTAAGGACTAAACCCAAGATCACCTACCTAGAAGACTGATGGAGCCAAGACCTGACCCACACAGTCAGAGCCCTGCTTTTAATCTCTGGGTGCGCAAGTCCAGGGATGCAAGGGACTAGCCTGGTGGGCTTCTCTGGTCCAAAGAGAACACCGACTTGGCCCAGACATCACGGAGGCTCACTCTCATAGCCCTCCATTTTCATTATGTTGCCCACAGTTGCTACTTTTATGGTCATAAGCCACCAGTTCTAAGTACCAGCTTATTTTAACGTATCTGGGATCAGGATGCATCTCACAATCTCAGCCAACCAGATAGTAGATGTGATTTTGTTGTCACTGCTTGCAGTGTGCATTAAATCAGAATGGGTGTCAGCTTAGAAGAAAATCTCAGAAACTCTAGTGGGGTGCCCTTTAAAGAAATGTTGCATCGCAAGCACCTCTGAAGGCAAAAAGGACAGTATTTTGTTTGGAAAAGCAAAGACATCGAGACTCTGAGTAAGAAAGTGATTTAGAAGAATCAAGCTCAGTGTGAAGTTCAGGAACCAACTTATCTTTTTTATTTGTTCCTTTATATGTGTCTAATGAAAAATCTAAGATAAAAGTCCAAAAAACTCTTTCAAGAAGTATTAACTATTCTAAGGGACAAAAAAAGCTTGTATGTGTCATGGTTTAAGTGGCGGCATTATTTTTTCTTAGTGTCATATAAAATAATGATATACCTTATAATCACTGGTGCCTTAAATTAAATGATTATCTTCTTACAGAATTGCTCAGAGAGATACCAAAGAGCTCTTTCCAAAGAGACCATGTAGAATTCATTGACCCAAAGGTTAAAAGTGACTATCTAGAGCAGATGACTCACAAATCTGCCTCCACAGCCACAGCTTCTCCACCTAAGCCTTCACCCAGTTTCCATCCCCCTAACTTCCACTGAACCCCAGAGAGTTTCTGTCTCCCCACTGCTCCCCACCTGAATGTACGTGCACCCTGCAGGTGCCTCAGAGTAAAGTCCTCCAAAATCCTTATTACCGATTTCAATCACCTGCTCGCCTCTGCTCAGGGGCAGGCACTACCCCTTCCCAGTAATCCAAACTGGCGAATTGGGCATCAAAAATTCTTCCCTCTCTCTAACCCTAGTCACAAATCCTACGGCCTCTGCCTCCTCCCATTACTTCATCCTATTTGCTCCCTGTGAGTGTCCTGGTGGCAGGTTTTCTCCATAGCTCCTGATTTAGCAATTTCCAGTATCACCTGACTGGGTGTCCCCACCTCCAGGCTCTCCAGGCACCAAGCCCCTCTTCAAACCACTATGACAGTCACAGGCCTATACCCAAAATGGAGTCCATCTCTCTTTGCTGCTTAAAACCCTGCAAGGTCTACAAATCAAAGCCAAGCCCGCCCCCTGGTGAGCACAGCCCTTTTTAATCTCTGCCTTGGCCCTCTCAGCTCCCACCTTTTTTCATGCCCTTCTTGGCCTGTAGGCTTCTAGAATAAGAATACATACTCTACATAGCATAAATTACATATTCAATATTTTTGAGGGAATGGGTGAATACATGAATGGATTAACAAATGACTTGCTGGGATACTTTAAAGAAAAAAGAAGGGATTTTTTAGCATGACATTTTACACTCTGCAGCACTAACACCTTTGTTTTCCTCCCATGAAAGCCACTCCTCCCACCCTTCCACTTTTGAGTCTTGTGCTTACCTATAATGAGCAACTTCACGCACCTCATTGATCTCATTTATTTCTTGCCATTGGGTTAGCAGCACCTGGACTGCAGGACTGTGACCATGCTTTGCCGCAAGATGCAGGGCAACATTCCCCTCCTGCAACAGAGACAAACTCATGATAGAGTCCTCTGCACTGAGCAACACGCCCCTCCAACAGGGCTGAAATGGGGCTCCTGAGAGGTTTCACTTTGATTAAAGCTGTGGTCCAGAGTGTGGGCCACATTATCCATAGTTTCAAGTGAAATTTACAATTTTTTAAAGTTTCAAATGAAAAGACATAGTTGTTTGAACCAGTAGGGAAAAACCATCCATGCTCCTTGTTCTACCTTTGCTGCTAATCTGCTAACAAAAAGTGAAACAATTTAGAAGCAATCCCATATGACCTATGTGAAGGTAAACTGGTGAAAGATTTCTGGGAGATAGTTTAGCAATGTATACCAAATGATTTAATGTGCAAAACTTTTGGACGCACAATTCCATGTGTATGTATGAATTCCTCTTAAGAAAATAATCAAAGATGTGCAGAAAGATATGGGTGTCCATTAGGGTTTCCCTCCCCAGTCAGGTGAGACTGAGTCTCCAGCAGACCTCAGGGGAGGAAAAGAGGAAACTGGAGTTAACAGCGGAAAAATCCATGTAGTCTGTTGACTTCACAAACATTTATGGAGTGAAAATTAGCAATCTGGATGTTCCACTGCAAAAGTAGGTTCATTTTATCTGGATATTCCATACTCTGACTGTAGTAACAACTGAACATTCCTGACCAAAATGACATCACTAAATCTATATACCAGGTGTCACTCCCCTTTCTCTTGTTTTCAGCAAAGAAATAAGAGTCCAACTCACCTTGTCCTTTTCTGAAGTGTGTAGATTAAGGAAGATAAGTTTTTCTATCATTTCAGTGTGGCCCCTGTCGGCTGCCCAAAGAAATGGTTTTCTTCCTTTCTGAAAATCAGTCACAAACCTCCAGTGTTTATTACACATTTATTGGACAAGCAAGACAACTGACAAGATGGACAGCAGTTTGATGGTTACAAGGAGACCAAGACGGTGCTTCTGGTCATGGCGTGTAGGCCCTTCCCAGGCAATAATAATCTCTGTAAGTCCCAACCAGATCCAGTTCTGAGTTGTTGCCCAAAATTGTGGGAACTCCCCATCAGCACAGAATCATTTTTATGGGGGCAGAAAAGTACTGTTCAGAAGCGTTCCTCCCAAGCACCTGGGGAAGTGCCAACTCACAGCCAGACAACAAGATTCATTTTCAAACGTAGGATTTCTACCAACTTTCCGTGTTTATTGTTTTTTTTATTTTTTTATTGTTGTGTTAATCACCATACATTATATCATTAGTTCTTGATGTAGTGTTCCATGATTCATTGTTTGTGCATAACACCCAGTGCTCCACGCAGAATGTGCCCTCGTTAATACCCATCACCAGGCTAACCCATCCCCCCACCCTCCTCCCCTCTAGAACCCTCAGTTTGTTTTTCAGAGTCCATCGTCTCTCATGGTTCATCTCCCCCTCCGACTTACTCCCCTTCATTCTTCCCCTCCTGCTATCTTCTTTTTCTTTTTTCTTAACATATGTTGCATTATTTGTTTCAGAAGTACAGATCTGTGATTCAACAGTCTTGCACAATTCACAGCACTCACCATAGCACATACCCTACCCAATGTCTATCACCCAGCCACCCCATCCCTCCCACCCCCCACCACTCCAGCAACCCTCAGTTTGTTTCCCGAGATTAAGAATTCCTCATATCAGGGAGGTCATATGATACATGTCTTTCTCTGATTGACTTATTTCACTCAGCATAACACCCTCCAGTTCCATCCACATCGTTGCAAATGGCAAGATCTCATTCATTTTGATGGCTGCATAATGTTCCATTGTGTGTATATACCACATCTTCTTTATCCATTCACCTGTTGATGGACATCTTGGCTCTTTCCACAGTTTGGCTATTGTGGACGTTGCTGCTGTAAACACTGGGGTGCACGTACCCCTTCGGATCCCTTCATTTGTATCTTTGGGGTAAATACCCAGTAGTGCAATTGCTGGATCGTATGGTAGCTCTATTTTCAACTGTTTGAGGAACCTCCATAGTGTTTTCCAGAGTGGCTGCACCAGCTTGCATTCCCACCAACAGTGTAGGAGGGTTCCCCTTTCTCCACATCCCTGCCAACTTCTGTCGTTTCCTGACTTGTTAATTTTAGCCATTCTGACTGGTGGGAGGTGGTATCTCATTGAGGTTTTGATTTGGATTTCCCTGATGCCGAGCGATGTTGAGCACTTTTTCATGTGTCTGTTGGCCATTTGGATGTCTTCTTTGGAAAAATGTCTGTTCATGCCTTCTGCCCATTTCTTGATTGGATTATTTGTTGTTTGGGTGTTGAGTTTGATAAGTTCTTTATAGATTTTGGATACTAGCCCTTTATCTGATATGTCATTTGCAAATATTTTCTCCCATTCTGTCGGCTGTCTTTTGGTTTTGTGGACTGTTTCTTTTGCTGTGCAAAAGCTTTTTATCTTGATGAAATCCCAATAGTTCATTTTTGCCCTGGCTTCCCTTGCCTTTGGCGATGTTTCTAGGAAGAAGTTGCTGTGGCTGAGGTCGAAGAGGTTGCTGCCTGTGTTCTCCTTTAGGATTTTGATGGACTCCTGTCTCACGTTTAGGTCTTTCAACCATTTGGAGTCTATTTTTGTGTGTGGTGTAAGAAAATGGTCCAGGAACTTTCCGTGTTTATTGAATAGTTCTATCACTCAACTATTTATTGAGAAGCTACTAGGTGCCTAGCAAGCACATCACACATTAAGCCTTGCTTTACTGATAAAAATGTTTGAAGCAGAAATTCTCCAGGACTTAATATTTAGATGGCTCAATCAGACATGGAATTTTATCTACTGTTTCTTTTTTTTTTAAGATTTTATTTATTTATTTGAGAGAGAGAATGAGAGATAGAGAGCACGAGAGGGAAGAGGGTCAGAGGGAGAAGCAGACTCCCTGCTGAGCAGGGAGCCTGATGTGGGACTCATCCGAGACTCCAGGATCATGACCTGAGCTGAAGGCAGTCGCTTAACCAACTGAGCCACCCAGGCGCCCTCTACTGCTTCTTTTTAGGCCTTCCTTGCTTGCTCATATATTTATCTCCAACATTCACCAAAAATCAACAGGAATACTCTTGAGAACAGGTCTATATGAATTGGAATGGAAAAATTAGGCAACATCCAGAGAACATAGCTTAATAAGGATGTTTAGGTATGATTTGTTGGGGAGGAAAGTTCAAATGTAGAATTTTCTGACCGTGGTAATTTCTTAAATTTTTCACACTGCCATTGAAGGGTCCATTTGCAATAGCCAAAATGTCATCAAGAAAGTGAAAGATCCACAGAAGACTTAATTTTCAAACTCAGGATATTTTTTTAAAAGATGTTATTTATTTAATCTGAGCGAGAAAGTGCTCGCACATACACAAGCAGGGGGAGAGGCAGAAGGGAAGGGAGAGGGAGAGACAATCTCAAGCAGATTCTGTGCTGAGCATGGAGCCCTCCTCAAGGCTCAAGGCAGGGCTCAATGTGGGGCTGTCTCACACCCTGACATCATGACCTGAGCCAAAACCAAGAGTCAGACATTTAACCAAATGAACCACAAGGCACCCCTCTGACTCCAGATATTTAAAAGAAGAAAAAGGAAGTTGGGGGGCAAGATGGAGGCAGAAGTATTTTCTTCAATTAAAGAAAACACTCACAAATTGGCTTGGTGTGTTATTAACCAAAAGCTTAGCAAGATGTTTGAAATGTGGAAAACAAGATACAAGCCTCTTTATAAGAAGGTTCCTAAATCTGAGATTTGTTATCTGATCTGCTAATGCAGGGTAATGAAAAGATCATGGAGACTGTTAACTTGAGACAAACAACACATGATTCCCCATTAACGGGGGAAAAAAGGAAGGATAAGGAAGGAAAATGCTGAAATAATAATGGCAAAAAAAAAAAACGTCTACAAGGATCAGCCCTATGGGACTCTGTACTCACGCATTTATGGAAGCTGGAGAAACAAAGTAGTACAAAAATTTTTCCTAATTCATTATTCTTGAGCCAGACATGTTTGCCAATGAGGCCTACATCCCCAACCTTCAACCCTGGAAGGCTTGGCTCTCATCATCATTCTCGTGAGTTCACTAAGGAAGTGGAAAGAGAAGAAACAGATTGCTTGGGCCCCCAGTTTTCTGATTTTCTGCAAGTTATTAGACACCTAATTGAAAAACAGAATTTAGTCTTGATCCCTGAGCAACACTTTGGAAATGACAGACCAAAAATTATTGTGTCTGGCTTATACAAATATCTGCAAATGGTGACAATGGATAAAGGTTTATATTAAAAAAAAAAATCACAAAAAAGGATGTGTGAGAGACATGATTATACACTACATGAAAACATTTAGTCACACACCCTTATAAATTATTTACTTATTTGTTCCACAATTATTGAGCATCCATGAATATGCCAGATATTGTGGTCAGCAACAAGAAGCTCTGAGTCCAACAGGGAAGATGGACACATGAGCAAGTAATTATAATGAAATGCAGTAACTGAGAGCTGGTGATATGTGGGGGTACATAACTCAGTATGAGTGTGTGTTTGTGGGTGGGAAGGCAAGTGACAAGAAATGGTGGAAGAAGGCCTTTTAAATTGCTAATGCACTGGAACAAGAGACAAGAGCACTGGTGGTGACATTTTCCCCTGGGAGCCTGTGCCCTGTTTTTCTAGAACTGTTAATCACAGGCTCCTGCTTCTTCCACAGTCTATCCCTTGGTCACATTGTTTCGCTCAGGGATGGTCACATGCCAAGCTACGCCAATCAGAGTCAACTATGGGATATTTTTCTGGCACATTCTGTTTGTATCTAGAGTCATCGGCTAAGCAGTCATCAGCCCTCTTTGTCACCTGACAAGAAGAACCCACCTAAGAATGAAGCCAGCACAGTGGCAAGCACACATGAAAAATGCAAAAAGAGACAAGAGCCCTGCTGACATCATGGGCGCTGCTGGATTCAGACATACCTGAAGTTACCTGTGCATGAAGTATTTGAGTGAGTCAATCAATTCCTTTTTTTTCTTTTTTTAAAGATAGATTTATTTATTTATTTGACAGAGAGAGAGAGATAGCGAGAGCAGGAACACAAGCAGGGGGAGTGGGAGAGGGAGAAGCAGGCTCCCCGCTGAGCAGGGAGCCCAATGCAAATGCAATTTCCTAATTAGGGGTCATTTTTATCACAAGCAATGCTTATCTTGTTTGCAGTGACACAGAGCCAAAAAGCTAACCAAAGTTTAAATTCTCATGCAGAAGCAAAAGGGGTTTTGTTAGCCCTTTACCCACAGAGACCATAAATAATACATGAGGGTGTTGTGTCCTAGAGTAGACATCTGCTGCTTTGTCTCTATGTTTCTTTCTTCTAGTAACAGCAGCTTCATTTTCCTTTAGAGAACTTCCCCAATTATATACACATGTACTCTGCCATTTAGCCATTTAGTGCTGTCAACTGCCAGGTTTTAACTGGCCCATGAAGTGACCACTTAACCCATGCTGGTCACAGTGATCAGTTCAGGATTGGGCAGATGATTCAAGCAGGGCCAAACAGAGTCGTTCCTGAGATTTATATATGAACATTTGATGATAGGAATTTTCTTTTTTTTAAAGATTTTTTTAATTTATTTATTTGACATAGAGATAGAGAGCACAAGTAGGCAGAGAGGCAGGCAGAGGGAGAGGGAGAAGCAGATGCGGGACTCGATCCCAGGACCCTGGGATCATGACCTGGGCCGAAGGCAGCCGCTTAACCAACTGAGCCACCCAGGCACCCAGGAATTTTCTTTCTTATGAATCAAAATCCATAAGAATATCCGTAAGAGGGGCACCTGGGTGGCTCTGTCAGTTAAGCATC